TTTACAACTTCTTACCCTCTCTCTCTCTACATTAATTTCATAGTCCGTGATAGTGTACTGTCAAATCTATTGGAACATAACGGTCAAATCGAATTCAAAAATTTTTATTAACCTAGAAATCATGAAAAAGTGAATATGTTAAAATTATTTGAATTTTAGAGTTAAAAGTTATAGTAATATTAATTTTATCTACATATTACCTTTAATAGTTATAGTACCTAATTATCTATTTAATATGGGTAAGAATAATATTTATTACACTTTGAGTCTGGGTTAAAGGTTGATTAACTGATCAGGCGATTAGACTGCATTTTCTGATTTATAAAGTATAATCACAATCTAATCGCCTGATTAGTTAATCAAGCCTTAACCAAGTCTCAAAGTACAGGGCCTTAATTAACATGGTGTAATCGAGAGATTGAGAATATTTAAATTTTAGACAATAGTTATGGAAAAGTACGCGTTTTATTGGAGGAACTGATAGAGTTAAGGAAAACTGTTCCTCAAGAAATATCCGACTTTTATGCGCTAAGTAGCAAAGAAATTTTGAAATATATAAATGCCGTCAAAATAAACCTTCGTCAGAATGACCATTTTAATAGTGACAACTACTTACTAACTACTCCATTTGAAAATCTAAATATGAAACAGGCTTATCAATTTGTAAGTGACTTTTCTTAACAAATATTCTAATTTATAGATTAAAATGATTTGATTAAATTGAAATTGTATTGTAATAAATATGAATTATTCTAGGATAATGGACAGCTGGAAAAGACATATGAACAAATACAGCTGTTGCAAATTCTTATTAAAAAAAAGAACTGCCCTATTTCAAAGATTATCGACGAGATATAAATTTCAATTATGAGGTATTTTTATTTAAAAAATTATCAACGATATATGAATTACAAATAATCACAAATATAACATATTTATATTTACATTATTTTTCTAATAAGTTATAATAAACGATTTGAATTTTAAATGTGATTTATTTTTCGGTACCTTTTATTTAGTGAATTTTCATCAGCGTAAAAACTCGGCAATTTATTATAAATATAATTCAGTCACAATTACACTTAATAACATTCACAATGTAAATAGCAATTCTTTTAAGAGAATATTAAAATTGCCTCTAAATCTGAAGTAGAAAGTAACTTATTTACTTAATTCATTTGTCGATTTACATTTTGCTCCTGAATTGCTTTCAAATGCTTATAGATAATTTTCAAACTTGCCAATCTTGGGAGAGTTTCCTAAAAAAAAGTTGATAGTATGAATGCTTTTACACAGTACCTACATTTTTTTGTTTTGAATAACTTCTATTTCAACTATTTACAACATATTTTGACAGGACATACTTACGAAAAACAATGGTATCAAGTTTTCTCGATTAATTGTGTCTTTGGTTAATAAACTTAGTACATATATTACTCTATTCTGTAACAAAAGAAACAATGTGACCCTTTCATTAAATAAATAAGTAGGACTTACTCTAAAAATAACTTCATTAATGAAAATGTTTTGTACTTGTTCTTCTGGAATGAATATAGTCTTTACTCCAATTATATATTTAGTAGTCACCTGAAAACCCAGACCTCTAATAGTGAGTATACTTTCTGAAAAGAAATATGTTACATATTTTGCTTTCAAATAATTTGAAACATACCCTCTTTTATCGAAGTACATAATCTACACAGATCCAAAAATATTCCAATAATAATGGCAGTTATAAGTTTTGTATTGAAAATATTTAAAACGAGACTTAATAAACTCCATACAACTAATATTCCTAAAATGATGCCTCTTTTGCATATTTCAGATTGAACTGACCTAAGAACTGTGATTTTTAAAATACTGTCCTTTATTAAAATATCTAGTTTTATGTTAGTACCAAAAGCACTTTTAAATATTGCAGTCTTCTCCTTCTTTTTAATTTTGACCATAGCAATGGCATGATTTTTTAAATATATTTAGAAATGTGGAAATAAACTGGAAACTACACTTTATATCTAATCTATTTTATCTATATTTTAATTTGAGGTTAACGTTAACGGGGTTAACCACAAAACATACAATGAACATACAGAGAAAACAAAATATAATAGGACAGGCTCCTAGCATAACATAATATAATATAGAAATCTCAGTGCCTTGTATTATCTACGTATCATTTGTCGCCATCTTTTGCTGACATACAAACTAAATCAGGCGATAAATTTAAATTAGTTCTTTTAAAAATTATTTGTTATGTCAATATTATAACTAATAACTGATTTTGAAATATGATCAGACAGATTTACTACTAATGATTTGCTTTTACCTCTACGAATTCAGTTCTTGGATTCTACCACAGACTTCTACTTAGAAGTCTGTGGATTATATAGTTAAATTAATCATATATGTCACAACTTTTGACTCATTTCACTACCATTTATGATTTATGCATTTATGGATAACCTAGCATTTTTGGGCATGTTTGCGCGTTTCTTTTATGAAAGAGGCAAAAGAATAATTTTTACAATTTGTCTCTCGTACGTTTTTACAAGAGAAAATACAGTCTGACAACCTATCAGTTAATTTGTTTTATCCAACACTTAAAGAGAATAATTTTTACAATTTGTCTCGTACGTTTTTACAAGAGAAAATACAATCTGACAACCTATCATTCAATTTGTTTTATCCAACACTTGTATTAGGTATAATTTCTTTGGTTTTAAAGGAATAATGTGGCCTATAACTCACTAAGTCATAAGTCACTAGTGAGTTGTGAAACCCTTGATGGTTACAGACACAATTTAGGTTGACAGTCGCATCCTTTGTAATATTTAAAAATACATCCATTTCGTTTTTCGTTAAATTACTTTTTCTGACACTGACAACTTCAAATTTTAAGTTACTTTTATTTATTATTAAAACGAAATTCTATGTGTTGGATAAAATTTTGTGTGGCACTTGGGAAAATTTCCCAGCGTGACATATACAGGGCTGGAAAATCAACATGGTCCATCTGCCTTTACATGAGAGCGACAAAGTAAAGTAAAGAAATCCGTGTAATAGACAAGGATGGCTATCCGCGATAATTTTTAAGATGCAAGCACACCAATCGGCGAAAGCAGTAAGCTCCGAGACAAGGTAATTTTGACATTGCCGTTCGTATTTACACATTAATTTGAACAACGTTTGTCTTATTTGCCATTATTATTAGTAATTTTGTTATCAAACTGCGGTTATTTGACTTTTGTGTTATTTTATAGGTTTCAAATATTTCATAAATAAATTTTAAGGCAAGTATTTATGTCTACTTTATTTGTCTCTAGTATTACAATTTAATGTAGATTTTATTAGGTTATAATTATGAACTTATCCGTTGTGGAATATATTTCCTATTTACTTACATACATATATGCCAACGAAAACGCTCGTACATCAGAAGGAGAGGAAGTTTTTAATGCTGATCATGTGGTATTCATCATGGGAAAATTAGGCAAAGTTAATTTAAATTTAGAAATTTATATTGTGTCTGCAAACTATTGCCCTTACTTACTAACAACCCTCATGAAATTCAGGGAGTATTATCTATCGGCAATAATATTTTGAAAATTTCTTCAATGGTTTGATGAAAACTTAATTCTGT